GAGAAGCACTCAAAATGTTCAAAGATGACGACTTATTTTGAAGTGGATGAAACTTTAACAGCAGAAAAGCTTATTTGTGTGATGGTAAGAAACGGAAGGAATCATGCACAGCAATACCCCGATGGCTTCTATGAAAGCCGCGAAGTTACACATTTGATCCTGGGATGTCTCACCGAGATTTTTAATTCCTTATCCCCATAGAAACATCCCCACGATTTTCCTTATCTGTAAATCTACAACTGTCTATATTTACATGTACGAAATGCTACCCAAATTTCGGGCACAGCCTATGTAACGAATGTAGTACGGATTTTAACGCTGCACTTTATGAGCAGTGTCATGTAATCCAAGGGAACTAGCTCGTAATGAAGCCATCGAGGAATCATACACAGCAATACCCGCTGGCTTCGATGTTTTTGTTTTGTTTTGTTTTTTTTTTCATTTTTTCTTCCTTTTCATTGTCTTTTTATTGCTTTAATTGAATCCGATTACCTCTAAGAACATCTATATATTTAAAAAAAAAAAATGAGACTAAATAGTTATGAGACACTCAGTAAGCTTTTTTTACTATGTATGGTTTTCGAGATGAGCTTTTTAATCAAAACTCGGATCGACACGCTCATTAAAAAAATAATGGAATCAATTAAAGAATGTATATTCTTTAGTGTGGAACCTTCCATATATTTAATTGGATCTGTTGTCCACATTTCTATGACTATCGCTATCGCTTTCTTAGCAGGTTTATCAGGCGGAAACTTTTATAGTATGTTGTATTCATATTTTTAGCTATTGCGTTCGGTGTCCTTCCTAGAGAATTTTGTACTAAAACTTTGATGTCATTCACCGACGAATGTTTTTTTTTATTTCTCCATTATATCTATTGCATTCGCTGTGTTTGATGGGAAATGTCGAACGGAACAATTTATGTCATTCACTGAAGGATTATTCTTCGCAATTTTTAACCTATGTTCGGTGTTCTATTCAAGGAATATCAACTTTATGGTATTCACTTGAGAATGTTGTTCCAATTCCTTCAGCCTGGCTGCTGAACTTTCATCTGACCGAGTTCTAACAGTCCAATGGCGCAAAACTGGTTTGCAACTTTGAATACTTCAAAAACCAATCTGGTAACTTTTCATCATTACAGAGACGATTCTGAATTTTCATCAGGTTGCACTTCTAGTGAGGCTACTTACTTTCGACGTGTTTTGGGACTCAAGATAACCCCAAACATCAAATACACCTCATATATCCGATCTATCGCTAGAGACGCTAGGAAAATGTTTGGCTCTTTCGTTCGCTCCAACTGTCATGCTCTAATTTTATAAAGTTTAGGTCAGACCAAAATTGGAGTGTTGCTGCTATATCTGAACTGGAGTTACATAATCATATCTTTCTAGCATCAACAAAGTTCAAAAATGTTTTCGCGGCCTTACAAGTGATGGATTATTTTCAACCCTACAACCCTTTTGACAAAAGACGCAACATCGCATGCCTATCGCTACTCTCTTGCTATTTTCATGAAAAATGTCCTAACAGAATATATTCCCTAGTTCCACCAGTTCAAACATTTACAACTATTATCTGACATGTTCTAGACACAGGCATGAACCATCCTCATTCCCGTCGTCTTCCATATGATAAGGAAGTTCCATTACGACTCCTGAAACGATGCTTCTACGAACACTATAATCTTAACCTATTCAAGTTTAGAGTCAACACTTACCTATCAGACGAATCCTTATGAACTGCACTTACTTCGGTAACGATATCAGTGTCAGCTGATATACTTTTAAAAGAAAAAATCTCACAGGTGTTACAGAGATTGTTTCGGCAGTTATTGCCTTGGCAAAGAAATTCAGCTTAATAGAGTGGACAACCCAAGAACCAGGTCCACCGATCCTGACAAAGAAGGTCATTGAGTGAAGCCAGGCCCTAGTTCTTGATGAATTACTTTTTTAAATAGAGTTGACAGGACAAAGAACCCTGTACACTATAAGACAGTGATTCATAACAGCAAAAGCTAGAGAAAAGCAGGAGCACGAAACCGCTTGCCACGGCGCAAAATGGAAGACACGCCCGTTAGACTGTTCGCCCTTCAACACACCTCACCTCTGGTTGGCTCATCTACAGAAGGTTACAACCAGAATAAAATTTGCCTACTTCTGAAATTTCAGTTTTATTTCATGTATAATGATATGGCCAAAGGGTTATTTTTGAAACCACAAGTGTTTGAATAGAAGATGCTGCACTCTGAGAAAGAACCTGGTGTTTTGTCTGATCTGCAAGGCACACTTCGCCATTCCTCTTCCTACACGCATACAACAACTTCACTTACTAACCGTCTATCTTGAGTGGCTCTTGGCCTTGTATCAAGTGAATATTTGGTAAAAACTCGCCCTGTCGCTTTGGGTGCTATTTTCAAGGAATATTGAATAGAATCCTTTGTATAATTCACTGAGGAATAGTCTTCTGATTTACCTGTGGCTTTCGATGCCCTCCCCATTATATCGACCCTTTGTTTCATCACTGCTTGTCTCCAGATTTGTTTTCCAAGGTGACTGCTGAAATTTCCAAATGCTTGCATTTGTTATTTTTGTGCCCTCAACACTTCTTTATCTATTTCTTTCTACACGCATACTCAGAAATGAAAACAAAACCAGGAGAATGTAAAAAACGAAAATGGGTTTTGCATGTGGTAGAATTGTTACATGAAGAGTTCCTCTATTATTATTTTGTTACCATCTTTCTTCGACCTTATTTCTGGTGCTCATCATCGCAAACATCTGAGGCGATGTAATTTGGCACCACTTCTAGCACCTGTCTTGTGTCTTCAGAAGGCAGTTTCTGCTGGATTTAAACGCAGACAATAATTACGAATCATGAAACAAAAACAAGCTGTGGCAGTGTAGCTGCAACACGAAGCAAACTTATTGTCTAGATCATGATCCACTAACCCACTTGGGGCCCGTAGTGGCACCCCATATATTGCAATCGTAGCAGTAATGGGTGCGTCTAGGGTAAGATAGAGTGAATCCTCTTTAGGCTAATTTTGAAATACTTGTTTTCATTCTCCTAGACTGGTTGCACTGCCTGACTAATAGCAAGAACCTCATCTGCCTTAACATTTGACCCTATAGCTGGCTAAATGTGTATTTATGCAGTTTTCAATGACATTAGCAGGGCGGGAACGAAACAGAATCGACCGGAATTTAAACATGTATTGATGATTTCACTTTCCACACTGCTAACCATTAGTATTATACGGGCATAAAAATATTTGGTATTTGGTATTTGCTTATTGTTTGTTTGTTTGTTGTTGTTTTTGTAGTAGTTGTTGTTGCTTTTAGTGGCAGGGGTGATAAATCACGCAATGAGTGTAACGAAATATATGAAAATACGACAAAAAATGAGGTCTCGGGTAATACTTAGTGTCTCCTTCCTTCTCCTCCCTGCTCCTCCTTCTCCTCTACAGTTGGCCCTGTATCTTACTCACTGATCGACCGATTTGACAACAAATTCAACAAATGGGTCAATTCCCAAATAAATAACTTTTTCTTTTCTTTGTCTTGCCATCTTAATTTTCCAGATGCTCTCTTTAATTTCGCCTACAGACAAAGAGATCATCAAGAACGGCGTATGGCTCCCAGTGTATCCTGTTCGCAGTCCATGAACTAAACATTCAAAGTCTTCCTTCCGACAATCTCCTTCTCCGTCTGAGCTTGATATCGCTACGGCAATAAACACTATGAAAAACCGTGACAGAATGATCACAGATTTCTTTATTCAGAAAACTACCGTAGCTGAAGTGGTTATGGCAACGTCCGTGAAAGTTCAGTGGGAGAGGAATTCAAAACTCGTCGGAAGCTATTGCTTATTCTCAGTTTCACGTAGTTTGTTCTAACGGTCGAAGAATGTAACGACCCAATAATAATAATAAGGAAACAATAATAATATTAAGCAAAGCTAGAATAATAATAATAATAATAATAGCAAGCAGGTATTTTTTTTAAATTTTTTCAGTTACACAAATTGATAACTACCAAATACGGAAAAGAAAGATTATATAACGACAAAATATGTGTTGCTTACTGTTACATCATCTTGAAACACCGTGTCCGCCCGAAAACTGAAGTTAAACAATATTGAATCTGGACAGTATCTAGATGGGTGACGCTTAGGAATACCAGATACTGTATGTGGGTGGCTTGGGTTGGTTACATTCACTTATGCTTAAACACTTTTGGAAAAGCTATGAATCTATCTCTTCTCTACCACTCCCACATATGGGTTAAATAACAGGACAGATTGTTACATCCACCCCTACTAACGCCTATACGGCCAACGCTATAGGCTAAAGGTCTGTTCCTCCCCATTGTTTGACACTACGACCTAACACCGGCCGTTCTTTTAGGGGTCAGCGGATTTAAAACCTATCTCCTATCACGATAGACAAGACTAGTACATGAACGGCAAATATGGTAATATGAGAAATGCCTAAGTCCAATAAAGGACATTAACAAACTGAAATTGAATGACATCAATTAAATATGTATAACTGCCTTCAAAATCAGTATTCGAAATCTTCTATTAACGCCAATGCAAAGTTCAGACCGACTTCTTGTATACAAATAGACAGATATAGAGAGACACAATCGTACAGAAAAATGAAGGTATTTTAATACTCTTATTACTTGTTATTGCTGTAAATGAACGCAGCAAAGTCTTTGGAATGTCACGCATGCGTCCCAATGTGGGTTAACACGCATGCGCATTGGACCGCTCAGCTGTAACAGCTTATGTTACACGGTTTTCGTCGAAGTTTCTCTTCAGCTGACAACATAGGTTTTGACTCAGTGGTTGGCTGCGTGGAGGAAAGGAGAAAGGCACAAGTTATCGAAGTGGTTAGTGTTAGTGTCTAACGTGACTTGGCTCGGAGCATAACTTCATTTAATAGCATTTTCATTTGCGAGAAAAGAATCGATGTTGACTGTCAGTCATTAGATGAAGGAGTGGACAGCTATCAACGGTGATGATAAAAATAGAACAGGAAGAATTAAAACCGATAACTGTCGACATAAGACAGGGGAGGAGGAGGAGGAAGATTCAGAAGAAGAAGAAGAAGAAGAGGGAAAAGGAGGAGGAACATCCTGTAGGTGACTACCTGAAGAAAGAAAGAAAGAAAGAAAGAACTTGGTGTAAATTTTTGAAAATAGCAAAGGACAATAAACTGTTTTAAATTGAGCCTCCTCAAGGCAACCAAAAGAAAGAAAGAAAGAAATCAAAGAAAAGAATAGAAAAGAAAGAAAGAAAGAAGGAAAGAAAGAAAGAAGGAAAGGAAGAAAGAAAAGAAAAGAAAAGAGAGTCGAGTAAAAGCGATAGTCGAAAAAAAAAGCGAGCCTTATCGAAAGATCACCATCTGAAGAGCTTTCACGAACGCCAAGATGTTACTTTACGAATGCTCACTTTTACATGGACACATTGTTGGTAATTATTTTTTTATTTAGATTTTCTCTTATTGTCTTCAGGGATTTCAGATATTGATTTTAAAACTGGGTGTGAAATTCAACTACAAATTGCAGTAGTTGCCATGACAGTCAGTCATACAAATCATTGTTGTTTGTGTTCAGTCTTAGCTTGGTATTCTACGATCGTATCAACATGCCATTCTACTGGAATTAATAAAACTCGCACAGTAGTCAAATAAAGTTAGGACTTAAACATCTTACATGTACGTCAGTTACAAATTACCTTTTTTCTATTAAAATTATTATTATTCATTTATTGACTGATTTATTGATTAATGGTGTAGAACGCCAACAAAGCAACGATGTAGTACAATTATATGAAGTTAAATATACCCAATATAATACCCAGTCTCATAAATCTTGGAAATTGGGCCCAGTTAAAAATACCTTCAGGTCTGATAACCCAGTCCACTCAGATGGCATCCGATTTATGGCGCATCTAAGTATCTACCTGTCTTGGTTGCCTAAGCCTTCTAATTAAAAAAAAAAACTTTTGAAATCCGAACGTGATGATCCCCCCACCTATGTTTGCTTATTAGCAAAGATGCAGAATATTTTTATAAAATCTACATAGTACAAACTGCATTAAGTAAAGGTCTCTTCATAGAATAGAATTAAGACAGCCAGACATATCAACATCTATATGGGTTATATTGTGCCATGTCTTCTCAAATTTCTTTTCAAAACGAATATATTTTTTTAGTATTGAACAGAATATTTACTGTTCCCCTCTTAATTCAGTAAGACAAAATATGTACATGCTATCTTCTCTAATCAATTAAGATCAGAATGCTCGAGAGCCATACCCGGTGCAGATTCCGGGGGATTCTTCGTTATTATTATTATTATTATTATTATTATTATTATTATTATTATTATTATTAATCTTCATATTATTTCCTTTATCTTTAACATTAGAAATCTTGCTTGAACAATCAAACTCCCTTTTTTGAATACTTGATATCAATGCAACATTCTCCGCCATTATCAAATGAGTAAACTATGAGAAAAGAGAAAAATAACTTTTTTATCGCCGGAAATAAAATAACGATGGTAAAAAGTGGTCATTAATATACCAAGCACTCGGTACGCAAATGTAGTACCCAAAGGATTTCACCTTATATACGGGCGAGTTTTACAAAACTTTCTTTGCAGTACTAAAATCGATACTAACCTGTATGAGATCGCGAAAACTGATAACTGCCGCCTCTTTCAATTTTTTCCCTCACCAGCAGTAAGAAATCTTCACCTAAAGAGGGTACTGTTCTCACATATAAGGTTTTCTGGTCTTTCGTGTTATATTTATCTATTCTGACTATAATCGGACACTGCTTTCCTCCCGGTATACGTTTCCACATTAATATTTGTATTTATGAAAGATATAAAAGCATACATATATCAGATTAAGACTAAATAAGTGATGGTGACGTTTCATTTCGAGGGGGAACTTCTTTAGGCGTATAACGTTTTTTATTAATGAAATCAATTGATGAAACGCCGACTACAGCTTACATCGAAACATTTAAGATACAGAGACGTTCATCTTTAAATTCAAATTGGATGTGTTTTTTTAGGAAAGGAGACGTGATATGATCATTGACCAAAATTTCCCGTAGATTATTCGGAAATTAGTTCACTTTCAATACACTTTCGCCGTAACAAAATACTTAATCTTTTAATCAAAATTGCTTTTTTTAAACTATTACGAAGAACGAATAACGACTATTCAATGTGTTGTTTTTGTAAAGTATCTCTTTTAGGTTCATATAATCTTTTATTTAAATTCTTCAAAATCTCACAAATATATTTCTTGAGAGGTTTTTGAACTTTGTTGTTTCAATTACTGCTTGTGTTAAATGTTGTGGATATTTTGTTTTGTGAGTTGTATTTTGCAAACTCATGTCACATGGCATCAATTCAAAGACTAAATCCTATTATCGAATTCTAATTACATTTTACCAAAACATTGAAGCAAAGACAAATACACGAAGAATACACAAAATAGATGAATGAATAAAATAATATACTTAATTTCATATATTATAATAATACCTGGCCACTTGCATTCGAGGATACCAGTCAATTAGAGCGGCTACTCAATCCCTATTGTAGACGCTCGCTCAGGCATATTTGTGTTTGTTCAATACACACAGAGTCCACCTGTGGTTTATACTGCAACTATGCATAGCAGATCTTAGTTACAGTTTCTGGGAGAGATTGTGTTATCTAGCGTGATCAACAATTTGAACAAGACCAGCACACTCAAGTCCTCGGACACGATGACTTGTGGCTTCGTGCTTGCACAGCTATCGATGGCCCACAAGAGTTCCGTCTACCCAAATTCACTCACAAGACCGTGATATGGTTTTCAGGCACTTTCCAAGGGTGCCGGCCTCACGCTGGGATCACCCCCTTCAGACCGATAACATCAGGAAGTCGCCTTCCTGACAAATCGACAATAGTGAGATTCGAACCCGTGTCTATATATATATATATATATATATATATATATATATATATATATATATAGAGAGAGAGAGAGAGAGAGAGAGAGAGAGAGAGTAATGTGGGTTTCATTCCAAAAAAGCAGAATGGCAGTTTTTTGTATAATCGTTTCGGAAGTTGTTGGAATGCTTAAATGATCTGTGTCCTTCTCTTCACATCTGTGCTTATATATGTGCAAGGCATAGTCTAGGAAGAGATTAACTAGACTGCCGTTCATATTTCATCCTATATACATACATATATACATATATACAGTGCTGTTCGATAAAAGTGACTCACCTGATTGTTTTTACTTAAACATTTTCGCCTATTTTTTTTTGGGGGGGGTTCAAACTAATTTTTAATCTTACTAAAGATCCCTTCCCGACCACCTAGTACAAAAGTTTATTCACCCTAAGGTATTCTATTGATAATTATAATTTTGGAAATAAATGAGATTTAGGGGAAAACTCTGTGCAAAAAAGTGATTCCCTTATTTCCTGCAACTAGTAATCAATAGAAACATCACCAAACAGTTTTAAATAAAGAATAATAGAGGTATAATTTATTTATAATAGGTAATATAGTTCGAAATATTTAATAATCTATGCGTCCTCCTTTATTTTGAATAACTTTTTCAACCCTTTTTAGCATTGACTTGATTAGGTTCTGGCAAATCTCATCTCCAGGCATTGAATTCCATTCGGATATGAAATTCACAATCTATCCTCTTTGTTGCTCAACTGCTTTCTCGAGAGCCTGTACAGGGGAAGACTTACGCACTCGGCTCCCCTTTTCACATTGCTGTTAGCCAGCAGCGGTAACTGAAAGCGAGAAGCGACACGCACTACCACTACAGACTACCACACTAGAAGCATCACAACAGCCGTTGAGACACACACACACATTTAGCCATCAATAAAACTTAAGCACTAGCCGTAAATGATAGATAGAAAACTAAGATTAGCCGATTTTCAACAATGGGGAATAAAGAAGTTTGCATCTTCTTCATTCCCCACAAGTAACCTATATAAACCCTGCCGCATTACATCCAGCCTGCTGAAGAAATAGACGTTTTGAAAGTTCACTGTTATAGTTCTTTCCCATATTGATGGAGGCTTTCTTCCTAACCTGTTTTCTTTCATTAGTGTCGAATATCATCATCTTTATTATGTCATTATTTTCTTTTCGAGTAACATGTGCTATCCATTTTAATCCTTACTAATATTAAAAATCAAGTGATATGGTTTCTATTATCTGACAATATTTTTGTTTCTGATTCTTTTGCACCAGTCGACGGGGTTCGAAGAAAGATGTTCCTTGCTAAGACCTACATGCTTAATTCGCTTGAAGCCATTTCTGACAATTGATCAGTGCTTCTATATTTACAGGGCATAGTCTAGCAATAGATTAAATATACTAACGCTGTTATTTCACCATTATCACAAATACTCAAAAAAACATTTTAAAATGCAATCAATGTAAATCAAAGCGCTAATTTTTACATCATGGTCTTGATTATGCCAAAACAAAATATAAACAATGCTTTCAAAAATACACTGAGGAAAATTTCTCAATACATGAACATCAAAGAACAAAATTTTGATCTGGAGAATACACTTTTTATTTTAAACAAAAGAATACAATGTATTCAAACGATACAATAAAAATATCAGAATCTATGAGTCAGCTGTGATTAACATCGAACAGGAATATTGGCAGTATGTCATTACCTTTTTTACTAAATTGCTATTGAAACAATAAAAATAGTTCACATTAATTAAAATCAAATTTCTATAACGAGTCAGTTAAATAAGAAAAATATACGCGTTGAGACATTTGTTGGGAAATCCCTTTGATTTTGCATTTTAGATTTTGTTTTCTTCAAATAAAATGTTTTCTTTTTCTGATGTCAAATTACTAAAGAAAATATGTCAATTTAAATTTATCCAAATTGTATCCAAATATATATATATATATATATATGATAATGAGAAGAGGATTTGTTTTTAATTCGATACAAAAAAAATAGAAAAATACATTAATAACTTTCGACTCAAACTAAGAATTGTAAAGAAAAGATGAGGGATTAAATATTAACGACTATTTAAAAGTCTCTAATTTTCTTCTTTAATCACGAGAAACGTCAGCTTAGGGAAAAAGTACTAAGATTCATTATTTAAGCAGACACACAACTACAAAGACACACATTTCACTCTTTTGTTTTCGGATCTGATGAAGCCTTGAATAGCGAAATGTATTATCACATGTATTTTTAATCAAATCTATTTCATGAAACCTTTCCAGTTGTCAAATGTTAGAAAGTTTGTCGGGATTTTTATATCCTAATTTAAAACACACACACACACACACACACATATATATATATATATATATATATGAATCTAAAAGCTGGATGGATTCATATATATATATATACATATATCATGCAAATATATTTCGGAACATTCGTCATAAAAATATATTTTAAAAGAATATAGGCGTTTGTTCTATTATTACCTGATTTATCGCTATATATATATATATATATATATATATATATATATATATATATATATATATATATATATATATATATGTTGTGGTAGAATCCACCTAATTTGCATAGTGGAGTACCGACCATATAAATATGGTTAGTACCGGGAAGAGAAGAGAGGAATCAAGAGATTCAATCCAGAGACTCTGCCCGACTGCGACTAAGTCAACACATTCTCCAGGAACGGTCTTCCCAGGAATATACAAAAGACTATATGTAAATATTGTGTACTTTTCTTGTTTCAATACATTTTGTTCTAAGTACATTTTGTGTTGCATTATTATTCCATGCATTAGTCAAGTTTCAACAAATATATATATATATATATATATATATATATATATATATATATATATATATATATATATGCATGCTGGTTTGTTTACATCACTTTGTTTACGGATGACTTTGTTTGTCTTAACTGATGTGAATATGAACCCCACAGGTGTGGGTTTGTTTGTTGATTACTGTATGATTTAAAAGAGATTCTTTCCATTTCGCAACCATCTGGTGACTCTGTTCACCTGAAGAATCCAGGCATTTGTTTGGCCGGGGTGCCATTGTTCACTGACTCAAGGAAGTTCGGGAGAATAATGCAGGAAATGCGAGTAGATGGGAAAGGAAGAACAGAAACCGAAAGAAAAAAAAAAGAGACGGAAGATTAGTGGAGGAAGAAGAGAACAGAATGAGAGTGAGGTGACAGGATGGAGAGGAGGTAACACGATAAGAGTTTTAGAGAGAGGAAATAAGTAGTGGAAGATAACAAAATGGAGAAGAGAATGAGTTTAAACAATGGGCGGGAGTGGAAACGATGGCTGTATTAGAGAGGGTGATGAGAGATGGAGAATAAAGAAAAGAAAATAACAGGTGGGAAACAGAATGGGGGGATAAGAGAAAGTAGCAAGTGAATAAGGTGTTGGAGATAAAGAAAGAATAAAAATATTAACGGGAGTGATACAGTGATGTAAGAATGAAGACGACAAGAAAGAGAAATACAGGTATAATGAAAATAGGATATATATATGTGTGTGTGTGTGTGCGCGCGCGCACGCGCGTGTGTCTGTAAAAATTCTCAGACTTAATCTGTAGAAAAAGACATAAAGGTATAAAGGCAAAAAGACAATAGGAAAACTGTGTGTAGTTCTAGCCGACGCGTTTCGTCCACTGGGACTTTTTCAAAGCAAGAAGAAAGGCATAAAAAATATACAACCGTAACAAAAATAACATTATCCATAATAATAAATTATACAAGAACAGATTCATAATACTACTGACCAATTCCGTAACATTCACTCTCCAGAACAACCTATCCCATCTAAACAACATCCAAATAATCAGAACTACTTCCAAAACCATTAGGAATATAATCAGATCTAAAAAGCCCCCGTAACAATATTTCAGGAGCAGGCATATATAAAATAAATTGTCAAAACTGTTCCTCAAAGTACAGTGGAGAAACATGCAGAAATTACAAAAGCGCATCTATGAAAACAAAGAGACTTCATAAATAACAATTTGGCAAATGCACTGGACATACTTAGAAATAAATTGAACCACAAATTGCTACAGTCATAACATAAGAAAATAATTCACTCAGAAGGAAAATCCTCGAGAGTGCCCCATTGAATATTATCAGATATTAATCTACGCCTCGGTTTTTTCTCAATCTCACCTTTCCTAACAGAATCACTACTACAACATACACAACAAATATACTAAAAAATCAAAAGAAAATGGTTGAATCCGTCTTTAAAGCAATCCAAACAATATTCCTACATATTAAAAATTCTCTTCAAACATAAAAAGTAAATGGCGTAATTTTCAGTTGACCCAATGAATATATATATATATGATCATTTCTAAATTCTTCTGGTAACTAACAACATTTTTTGTTCATAGATACTTTCTTCAAATAAATTAATTTCCTTTTTTGCCTTGAAAAAGTCCTCAGTGGTCCAAACGCGTCGGCTAAAACTACATACAGTTTTCTTGTTGCCTTTTTTTCTTATGTATTATGTAACGGATTAATATTTAATTGGATACAGGTTCTGTTCCTATCGGAGGACACATTTTTCTACGAAATTTCTGGAATATTCAGGACGATAAATGTAATTATTACTATTAAATTAAAAAAATAAGTTGTAGCCATAAAAATAAAGTATAACAGAAAATTAATTTTATATATATATATATATATATATATATTAAAGACATTTTTATGTTTAACGTTTTTTTATAGATACAAGTATTTAAGTAAATGCTCTGTTTAAACAGGCATTTACTTAAATACTTGTATCTATAAAAGAACGTTAAACATAAAAATGTCTTTAATAAATAAATTGTCGGACTTTGTCCATTTCTTAATATATATATATATATATATATATATATATATATATATATATATATATATATATAATTACTTCTTAATTTTCATTTTAAACATTGGGAATTACGTCTATGGGCTTGAGAAATCTAAGTAATGAAAAATTATCCTTTGTAAAAGATGAAATAGAGATAAAGAGAAAGTAAAAGGAAACAAGGAAATAACAGGGAGAAAGAAATGCATAGATAGAAAATAAAGCAAAAAGGGAAAAAAATTTGATTGATTGTTTTTGCTTAGTCGCGTATCAACCTTTATGGGTTATTTAATGCCGAAATCTAAATATTTTGGACACAATTTTATGCTTTTAAGGCAAACTTATGCTTTTTAGATATATTGTTTGTAGATTGTAAAATATATTGTTGCTCATTTTGTTATAAAAAATGTATTAATGGTAATTATGTATTTATAAAAATGAATTGCTAATTTCACTACAAAAATGTATTATTCATATTTTTTTAAAACATTACTGTTAATTTTATTATAAAATGGATTTTTATACTTTTAGCGTTATATTCATTGTATTTTTGCTATAAAAATATATTGTTGGTCATTTTATTTTAAAGTATATTGTTGGTAATTCTTCTATAAAATGTACTGTTGGTTATTTTGTTATGAAAATGTATTATTTTATTTTTTATAAAAATGTATTGTTAGTAATTTCACTACAAAAACTTATTGTTGATAATTTTTTTATAGAAATGTATTTATTGTTGGTAATTTTTTATAGTAATTTTTATAGAAATGCTGATATTTTTCTACAAAATATAAGTTTTGATTTTTGTTTAGGGGTTCACTCATAGCTCGGACGCTAACAGGTGCTACCACCCCGTATCAGTGTGGACCTGGAAACAACAGCAATTAAGAGGTGCTTCCACGCTTCTCAAAACCTCTAATTTCCGGATTTGAGATCTTACTGCCGGATGTAGTGTATCGTCATACCCAGGACTAGAAAAGAACAAAGAGATAGAGAGTGGAGAGAGTGAGTGATAGAAAGGAAATACAAAAAGGAAAAGAAAATAATTAGTAGAAGGACGGAGAACAAAGAAAGAGAAAAAATCTAGTAAAAAGGGGAGAAAAATGCTTGTCATTTGGCAAAGAATATCTCAATCTTCCAGTAGATATCCTTTCTTCTTCTTCTTCTTCTTCTTCTTCTTCTTCTTCTTCTTCTTCTTTGTGTCATGTCCCTAGGACTTAGGTGATAATGGTTCTCCACAAATTCCGGTCCTTTGTAGCTTTCCGTAATGTTTGTCTTTTCAACATCTACCCGACTCCTTGTTCTGCCATCCATTTACACAAGCTTGTTTTCATCTGCCCCTCATGCCTTCAGTATGTTCTGTGTGTGTCAAATTCGCCAAGCTCTCTTTCCTCACTACACGTCCTAGAAATTTCAATTGTCTTTTTCTGATGCTACATATAAATATCCTTTTTGCTTTCATTTTCATAAAATTTCCTCGTTACTCGCATGTCTAACCCATGATATTCTCAACATCTTCCTGTAGAGCAACATTTCTGTTGACTCAAGTCTCCTATTCATCTGTGAAGAGATTGTCCATCATTCACTTCTATATAGGAGGACCGATCTTACATAGCAATATTTTCTTTATTTCTTACGAAATTTTTGCTTAGATTTTGGAAGGAATCTTTCGCTATTCCAATGCGACTTCGGATTTCGGTGCCATATTTTCTGCTCTCTGCTAAAACAATTCCCAGATACTTCAATCTTTGTGAATGCTTGATTTTAACATCTCCAATTTGTAGCTCAAATCTTGGATTATTTATCTTGCTGACAACCAGTCTTGTTACAGTTGATAGTTAGTCCTTTCTTCTCGCTTTCCTTTACTACTATCTATGACTTCCTGCAGTTTCCTTTCTGTATCTGCCATCAACACTGTCATCTTCATATTTTATGATAGCATAATATGCGACATGCCTTATAAATAAATCACTCAACCAAAGCTTTTATCCACTACTTCATGTGTTCTTGGGGAATGTAAATAGTTACAATACCTCATCTCAGAAATATAAACTGATAGATAGTTGCGACTCGATTTTGAGTAACGCTATAGTTTGATTGTTCCTCACATATGAGAAGCGTGGATGTGACTTTTTACTTTTGCTGGAGACTTACACTCACTTGTGCAGATGTGGCAGCGTTGGTGCTTCTTGTTACGGTAATATTTTGGTGAACTTTCAAATGAGGTTTTAGTCCATCAATTGAGGCACATTCTTTGCCACCTTTATTGCAATTAGAATAGCCATATGACGTGTAGTCAATTTCTTCTATCTTTATGTGGCTTTGTTGATGTGTTTTTAGGCATGCTTTGATTAAGCAGACATAACGTTATCCATTATACTTTAGATCAAACACTGTGCCAACATTCTCAGGGAGATTAACATACATACATACATACATACATACATACATACATATATACATACATACATACATACATACATACGTACGTACATAAAAACAAATTGAGATAAATACTACTAAAGAAGAAGAGGAGGAGAAGGAAGAAGAAGAATCAGGAAAAAAAATTGAATCAAGATATTAAATTTCCATACGACCAAATTTCTTAACAATTCAGTGATTGATTTTGTGGTTGTTTTGAATTTGTTTTTTTTTAATCTAGAAGTTTCTTTTTATAAAATTATTAAATAGTTGCAAATTTTAATTTGGAAAAACACTAACAAAACTCTTGCAGCAAATTCATATTATAATTCAGCTTGTTTCTATGTTATTTTGTGCCTCCCGCCTTGTTATTACCTCAGATAAACAATGAACCAATCCCTTTTGACTGCGAGACAAGATGGAAGAATATACTAGGAAAGCCGATCGGTGTTAGTAGGTAAAACAAAACATACATAAGATGAAAGAAGGAGGGGGCGATAATACTGACATGTATTTAACATCAGCTTCAATAAAATGGAAAAACCATCTCACTTTCAAATCTTTTCATATACACAGTTTGTTGTTATCTAAATGAATGGGCAAATGGTCCGAAAATAAAAGATGTCCACGACGTGTCCCGGGCTTTGTTCGAACCATTGTACTAAGCCTGAGCAATGTCAAAGTAGCGGGAACAGTTTCGAGCCGACAAGTGAAGTTCATTTGTTTTTGAAGTACCTTCTTCTCGCCTTTGCCTAAAGAGACAGGACCTACAAGCCAGCAGGAGGCTTGAATTCAAAGTTTTCCTTCTAGAAATCAATCAAAGCCATAAGTCTCTGTCTATCCTGATATTTACCCATAATTCTGGTGGGGGATAGGTGGATTCATATCTTTCCCCGGGTGCAATGAATTCGACTGAAATTTGAACTCGGCTCTCCGATTCCTCATTCTAAGCCGTGCCTCCGATGTGTAACCACTTCTTTAAATAATGATCCATGTGTTTGCTGTAATATTTTATTAAAGTGAATAAGCTCAAATATTTAATGACTCAATAGGGAACTTTCAATGGGTATTTTGTAGTCGTGGAAGTCGCAAGAAGTTTATTCAGTCATTAAATTAAGATCCATCAGAAAATTCAAATAGGAAAAGCCATGAAAATGCCACAGCTTCTGCTGGTGTTCAAAAGATTCTGTTGCAAAGCTAGTTATTCTTTTTGAAGAAATGCAAACTTTTGAAATACTCAAGGTTTACTAGGCGTTACCACCACCTGAAGAACACAAGAATACAAAGCGGTCGAAGCGGAATTCTGAGACAGAACCCCTAATATCACTTCATTTATACTCTGCATTAACCTCATCTCTTTATTTTCGTTTTTTGTGAGAGGTACTCACTCCAGCATGTAGACATCCCTGAGGATTATGGCGCCACAGCGTTTATATCGAAGACATAATTCTGGATAATCTGTCGAATAACAGAATTATAAAACTCGTGTAGCTACATTCAGTCAGAAAATGAATCTGAGAATTAATCTTCATTTATTTTCATGCGAAACTCTTTATTTCAGCTGTTTATCATCATTAAAATGTCGATTGGCTGCCATTATTATAAAAAAAAATAACTAATCCATTTATGTCGTCATTGTCTTATTTTTTCGTATTCCTTAGCCTTTTGGCAATCAACCAATTTTTGTCTGCAAACTCACCCAAGCGCTCTGAACACACACATGTGCTTCCAGCGCAAAGAGAAACTTTACAATTGAGAAACAATTTAAGATTTCATTTATTTCACTTAACTTATGACTTATTCTTCCGCTATTTTCTTAATTTGTTTACTCATCTGAATATGTGGAGCCATTTTTAATTTCTTCTTCTGTTTTTAAGTTTGCATAAGAGCACGATGTCCGAGCCACTATATAAACGGCGAAACCATTTAATCTTTATTAAACTTAATAAGACTTACCAGAATCTATTATTGGCGGACACAGTCTTAAAAACATAAGATAGGCAAATGACTCTGTGTTGATGGCAGAAACAGAAAGAGAAAAACAGAAACTCTCAGACAAATAAAAAAAGAGAAGAGAAAGGACTAAAAATCACGAGTTAGAAGACGGAATATATCGTAACCATTATTAAGAAGACAGAATATATCGCTGCCATTTTTATAAGCATTTCACCCCAAGCAAGGCGGGAGTGCAACTAGTACGCAAGTGTTACAGAATAGAGAGAATAGAGGAAAGGATAAAAAGAAGAACAAGAATTAAGGCATCAGAATATGTCGATTAACATTACATTTAAATTTTTGCAGATTATAGTTATCAGGGAAGAAAGTAAGATGAAGGGAGTTCCACTGTGGGGAAGTACGAGAGAAGAAGCTGTTGGAGAAGAAGAGACGCTTATATTTAACTGTTTCAACAATAAAAGGTTGGTCCGAGATGCACACCAAGTAGTACGCTTAAGTTCATACAGTCGGGGCACAAGTGAAAATTGCTCGTCGAAGCAGTTGCCATGAAAATATTTGTAGAAAAGACAAATGGAAGCCACATCACCGAAGACTTTACGGACGGTGATAAGAAGACAAAATATATCGTAGCCATCTTTCAAGAAGACAGAATATATCGTAGACATTTTTAAGAGGACAAAAATATATCCTAGCCATTTTTTAAGACAGAATATATCGTAGTTAGCAAGGGCAGTCGCCCGGGGTGTGAGCAATGAACTGAAGACGTCTGAACCAAGCACACAGAGAATTGTCCATATCTGAATATTGTTATAAGAGACGGCGCAAAATATGAAACCCGTAATCGGAAGAGGCATTGGAATAATGAAAGATGGCTTTCAAAAGCTAAACAAATCATTAAGCTATATAAACATTTCGTTAGAAACAAAGGTGTTGAATATATATAAATGGGTTTTATATATATGCGTGTGTGCGTGTTTGCATGAGTGTATGTGTGAGTTATATTAAGGCAGCGAGTATTCATCCAAAACAAGAGCTATTCAATTCAAATCGACAAGGTCTGTCTCTTTAATTTTATTTTATTTTTCCAGTTTTGAATAAGATGTTGTATATCAGACTCGAAATTGTAGATAAACCGTCATTAGTTGTTGATTGTTCTGCTGTTTTTGTTCAAGTAATTCTGATTGTCTCAGTCATTATCATAGACCATTTGCTGTAAACACGATTCTGTTGGTTACGTCCGAGTATTTTATAGAGTGCTGAAAGTTTTGAATCCATTCAAAGTGACGTCATGTGTTAAAGAGAGCGAGACCACACGACAAGGTATACCGCAATTATTATGCGTTTTCTTCTTTTGGGAGGGGGGTGAGGAGCAACAATACGTGGTCAATATAAACACTCAGTTGTGGAGCAAGCTGAGTGAAGACTGATTCAACATTGAGGAAGAGAGTTATTTATGGTGCAATGGAGCATCTCATTATGCTAAAGTGGGATAGTCCATTGCTTGGGCTTTGATTGGCTGCTGGTACCTGAGTGGAAGTATTTCTATATAAATACCAGCTTAATTTCAGTTAGTTTGCGGGGTTTGTATTAAGTTACAACCTGCTTTATTTTTGTCTGCCAGCTGGACGCTAGCTGGAACTCTTACGCCGGTAAGTGTCGTTTATTGTATTGTTATTCTACATCTCCTTCCCCCCATCGCGTGTTGG